CAATTCCCAGCAACCACATGGTGGCTCACAACCACCTTGAATGAGATCTGGTGCCCTCTTCTGGTGTGCAGGCAGAAGACTGTATATACAATAAATAAAATATTAAAAAAGAAAAAAATCTAGAAAATAAAAGTTAATACATAATTTGAAATTTTTTTTCAGAGAACTGATGCTTGGTCAGGCCCCACCCATAAAGGTGTCTGTATAGATACAAATTAGACCTTGTCAGCTAAGATGCAAATGAGGCCTTGTCAGCTAGTGAGAGCTTTGCCGATTGGATCGGAAAAGACTACTTGCAAATTTTGAGTGATTTTCAAAAGTTATTTGGGACATATGTTATATTCTAATAAAAATTAAACCTCAATTTAAAAAATTAAAAGATAATTTACAATCTTTTAAGCGATTTTCAAAAATTGTTGGGAAATATTCAATGGTTATATCCTTTTTTAAAAACCCTTAAATGAAGTTCTAAAAGAAAATAGTGATCCCAATTCACCAGGACGGTTGAATAAAGAAGGTAACAAGGCCTAGTGTTAAAAAGTATAGTGTGGCATCAGCTGATGTTATATTCACAATACAAAACCATGGGAATCTTATGCTGTTTCCCCAGCCAAAGTGTAATTATGTTTTGGGAAGGATACATCTGAGTAAGATAAAGCTTGCAGGATTGCCAGGTCAAGGGGTCTGTCAGTTATCCCCTGGGCCAGGGAATCTTTGCAACTGGCAGAAGACCTTTATGACCAACAATTAGCAAGGAAAAATGTTAACAGGAATGGTGGACAGTTGGGGCTCTGACACTCCCAATTTAAGGAGTTAAATCTTCCTTTGCCATTTGAAGTTTCATCTCTGTAAAGATTTAGGGCTCAAGTTTTTAAACTTTTATTAACTTTATTTTTTTGGTCCCTCAATACATGTTACTTATGCCAAACAACAAGTTGATTGTTTCAAAACAGTGAATTGTAGACAACTTCTTTACTCAATTTCCAGGGAAAATTAATAACCAGTTTACAGCTCATAGGCTGTTACAATTTGAGCTAATATATCCTTTTATATTCTCCAAAATAGAAAAAAAATAGTCCTGTAAAAATGTTATGCTAGTTTTTTTGTTTGTTTTGTTTTGTTTTGTTTTTTTGTTTTTCGAGACAGAGTTTCTCTGTATTGTTTCGGAGGCTGTCCTGGAACTCATTCTGTAAACCAGGCTGGCCTCGAACTCACAGAGATCTGCCTGCCTCTGCCTCCCGAGTGCTGGGACTAAAGGCGTGCACCACCAATGCCCAGCTGGGACCAGAGAGAGAGAGGGAGGGAAGGAGGGAGGGAGAGAGAGAGAGGAGAGAGGATGAGATGGAGAGGAAGATGAGAGTAAAAGAGCGTAAGCCGGCAGGGATCAGTCCTTTAAAGGGGTCTTTGCACCTGCGTCTTTCTCACAGAACTCTGGGCTGGCCAGAGTGCTGCCTGAGTGCATCCTGCCAGGTAACAGGGCAGGCCAGCGTGATGCCTGAACCTTTCATCTCTTATTCTGAGTTTGTTCCCCCTCAACATTTTATGTAGGAATGTTAACCATTTTCAGATCATCTAGTTAAGGCTGGTTAGTCCTAACTTTACCAAACTGCCTTAGTTACTGTTGTGTTGCCGTGAAGAGATACCATGGCAAAGACAACTTGTAAAACCAAGCACTTATTGGGGGCCTATTTACAGTTTCAGAGGGCGAGTCCATTATCACAGTGGTTGGGAGCATGGCAGCTGGCAGGAGCAGTAGCTGAGAACTCACATCTGAGAGAGAGAGAGAGGAGAGGGCAGAGGGAGAGAAAGAGAGGGGGGGGGGAGAGACAGGGAGAGGAGGCTGGACCTGCCCTGAACTTTTGAAATCTCAAAGTCCACACCCAGTGACACACCTCCAGCAAGCCACACCTCCTCCACCAAGGTCACACCTCCTAATTTTTCCCAAACGGATTCACAAACTGGGAACCAAACATCGAAATATATCTACCTATGGGGGCCATCCTTATTCAAACCACCACACCTTTCCAATGACAGATGATTATGTCTAGAGCCTAAGTTGGAAACAGTGCAAAATCAGTCAGGAATATTAGGCCCTCAAGATGGCTCAGTGTAGGTAAAGGCACTCGCCACTAAGCCAGAAGACCTAAATTCTATCCTCTAGACGCGCTTGGTGGAAGGAGAGAACTGACTCCAAGTTGTCTTCTGCCCTCCACACGTGTGCTGTGGTGTGTGCACACTAATCTGTACATGAAAGCGCACAAACACAAAACTTTGTTTTTTAAAAAAACTGGCTGGGTGGTAGTGGTGCATGCCTTTAGTCCCTGCACTGGGGGGAGGATCTCTGTGTTCCAGGCCAGTCTGGTTTACAGAGTGAGTTCCAAGACAGTCTCTAAAGCTATAGAGAAACCCTGTCTAGAAAAAATGAAAAAGAAAGAAAAGAAAAACATAAAAAGAGGGGCTGGAGAGATGGCTGAACTGTTAAGAGTACTGGCTGCTCTTCTGGAGGACCTGGGTTTGATACCCAGTATCCACATGGTGGCTCACAACCTCTAGTTTCAGGGGATCAACTGTCCTCTTTTGGCTTCTGTGAACACTAGCCATGCATGTGGCTCACAGATATACAGGCAGATAAAACACTCCTAAACATAAAATAAAAAGATATGAATATTTATTTTTTTCCTTCTGAAAAACTTATGAATGTCTACTCCAGTTCTTAGAGAATTTAACTTTTGGTGCCTCACTAGAATTAGAAATATTTTCCATGGTAACAATTCTTTCCAGTCAAGTCCTGAGACCATGATGTTGGCCAACGGAAGAATGAAGTCTTTTGACTCATCCATCCTTCCACAGCCACACCACACACACACACACACACACACACACACACACACACACAAACACACACACACACATATATATATATATGTTAAACTGACTGTTAAGCATCTCTGAAATCTTATCATCCTCAATCATGTTCTCCTGAGTGGGCCTACAAACCTTGGTGCCAATGATGCCAGTTTTGGTGGTACATTTCCACAGCTCCAAGACCATCTCACCCAATTCATTCTGCACATCTAGGCTGTGCCAACTACCTCCATTTAGAAGCATGTGGAAAGGAACCAGCATGGCACCCTATAGTAACAGTGCCATACCCCTGATTTAAAAGGGCCAGAGCCTCCATAAATGGAAGCAGGGAGGGGACAAGGCTGGAAAACCCAGGAGCCCCTCTGCTTCCTGGTTGGGATGGCTCTGCTCTGCCACCACCATGATGGACCAACTCTGATGAAACTGAACTAAAACACATCTTAACTCCCTTTTTTTGGGGGGGGGGGGGGGAACTGGACATCAAGCTGCCATTTTCCCTATTTAGTTAGTTTTCTCAGGCATGTTGAGACAGTGACAAAACAGATAACAGATTAGCATACAGAGGAAGACTTATACCTCTTTTAGCTTTGTACTGTATTTTTTTTTCCTCGGGGAAACATTATTTAACTTATAGTTTAACCAAAGAACAGAGCTGGGGTGTAGCTCATTGGTAGAGTGTGAACTTAACAAGCACAGGTCTTGGGTTTAATCTGCACCAGGACAAAGTATCATTTTCAGAAGAACTGTTTTGGAAGATGTATACAAAGTCTTAACAAAGTACCTTCTGTTGGAGTTTTAAGAGACTAATGATCTACAGTAGAAGGCTTTCTGGGGGGGCTGATCTCAGGATCTAAGAAAAATTAAAAACAAATATATTAGTGCCCTATATATTGTATATTATCTTTTCAGTTTATTATATTTTATATACTTTTTAAAAAGATTTATTTAGTATACAGTGTTCTCTCTGCATGTATGCCTGCAGTCCAGAAGGGGCACCAGATCTCATTACATATGGTTGTGAGCCACCATGTGGTTGCTGGGAATTGAACTCAGGACCCCTGGAGGGAGCATCAGTGCTCTTAACCTCTGTGCCATCTCTCCAGCCCTATTTTATATACTTAAAGGACCATAATTATTTATATTTTTTAATTTTTTTTTTTTGGTTTTTCGAGACAGGGTTTCTCTGTGGCTTTGGAGGCTGTCCTGGAACTCGCTTGGTAGTCCAGGATGGTTTCGAACTCACAGAGATCCGCCTGCCTCTGCCTCCCGAGTGCTGGGATTAAAGGCGTGTGCCACCAACGCCCGGCTATATTTTTTAATTTTAAGTCTTTGGAAACCTTTAACACTCACATTTATTAAGGATAGTCTTCCTTTCCCCTCAGCTCTTCTGGCTTGAAGCTCTCCACCCGGGTCTGCATCCCAAGGAAAGAGTCATGATGTGGGATGCTCATCAGCACAGTGATGGAGGATCACCTTATCACACGGAGGTCCACGTTAGAGCTCAGTCTCAGGGCCCGGGACAGAGGCCCACAACTGTGCTGCAAGCACATTTCCTGGAGAGGATACGAGTGCCCCTGGAGAATGTAGGAGAAGGGCATGGCACTCACAGGCTGGTTTTCTGGCCAAGAGCAGCCTGGCAGGTTGTCCTTGGTGTGCTAGAAAAACATTCTCTCTATTCCTTGCATCCTGAAACAGACAAACACTGAACTAGTCAAAGGCTATGGACTTCACCACACACTTCTCTGCAGAGAGGCACCTCCAGGAACAGCCGTGTTCCTCCAGGAAACTCCACATCACTGGTCACCCGCCTGCCCAGCCGTGTACTCCCTCACTGAACTTCTCTGTATGCTAGCCATGCACCAGGCACCATGCTGGATGCCAGAGACACAGACTGATGAGACCCTTGCAAAGGTATAAGCATGGTGGCCTTGGGAGACTACGGCCAAGAGAAAAGCAGGTTTCCCCACAGAAGACCGACATGGAAAGGTGATGTCTGAGTCAGAAGCAGATCCCATCTCTCCAAAGCTTGCCCATGTGGGAGACCACACACATCACTGGGGAAGAGGACACTAGCTGGAAACATGGCCTGACCTACAAGGGTGACGAGGTGGGTCTGACCTCACTGTGGCCAGTGGTCAGTGGACAGTGGAGGTGACCTGGTCAGCCATGACAAAGACTGGGGACAGCGGCCAGCCGAGGGAAGGATGAACGGAGGATGTGAAGGACTGTCCCCGAGGCAGGCTCACAGAAGAGCAGCTCTCCTGCTTGGAGGTCCAGCAGCATGCCCAGTTGTGCTGGGCACTGAAGCAGTGCCAGAGGCTCGTGCTGCCCATTGTGTGAGAAACAGAATTCTTGATCATAGCAGGAGAAGACTCAGGAGAAGGCATTATGGCCCAGGCGGCAATCACTACCAGAACCCTTTCGGGGGCAGCTGGGCTGAGGCCACGCTCACTTTATAAGCACAACTGTGCTGAACATTGACTATCCAGGCATGGAGTCCAGCCTGGAAGGTGGTGGCAGCCAGGGCATTGGGCCAGTGGCCACAGCGCTCTGGGTCATCTGAGCAGGCCTTGGACTTCTTGGCATTGAAGGTCAGGGTCCATCGATCTTCAGATAATTGCAATAAGGGGCTGACAGTCCTTTCCTTGATATACACCTCCTCCACGCCTGAGAGAGACCCGAGAACCGATGTTGCCCAGAGCTGAGTCAGTAGTGGGCTCCGAGCACACTTCTCGTTAAAGCTTAATTTGTCCGACTCCAGGGGATCTAAAATGCCCTCTGCTTCCTCAGCCCTCTCAAAAATCTCCTGCTCCTTAATCAGCTGGAGGTCATCCACATGGGTAAGCATGCCAACCAGGCTGGTACGGAGGGTGTCCAGCTTCTTCAGTGCCTCAGTCCAATGTGCCTGCTGAGTCAGGATGCTCTGGTGGGCCCGCTCCTCTTCACCGTGCACCTGCTCCAGTAATCACTGTTTCTCACTCTCACACAGGCTCCTCACCAGACTCAGCCTCTGGATAACCAGTTCCCTCGTTGTACTAGCCATGCTTTGGCAAGGGATAAAACGAGGAGTCAGATCCTGGAAAAGACCCACTGCTTTCTGACTCTTCCCTTGCAGGACCTCCACCACATACTTGGTGATGGCAGATTTCTGTAACTGTAGCCTCTCACACTGGTCCACAATCTTGCTTCGCAGCTCCTCTGCCTGCGGTGCCTGCAACAGCAGCAGCCCAGCCCAGCGCAGGCTGCCCACACCAGCTGTCTCTCGGAGAGGCAGAACTGCTCAGAGGCTCTCCGTGCACAACTGGCCCAACTCGGACCCCAGCAGAGGTTCGCGGCCCGGCCCCGATAATTATATAAGCACCTGCTGTGCTTTCCAATAACAATGAAAAACTGACCGAGACGGATAGAGTCCTACAGAAAATTCTGATTACATCAACTTGAGCTAAAAGAAGGAAACTAGGGGAAAACAAAGATCTTTGTAGAATCTATTAAAGATGTGCTGTGTAGTCTGATTTCCAGTGGTCTCAAAGATAGGCAGCACCGTGTGTGTGTGTGTGTGTGTGTGTGTGTGTGTGTGTGTGTGTGTGTGTGTAAAACGAAGGGCCTTGCTTACACTAAGAAAATGCTCTACCATTGACCTCCATCTCTAGCCTTCAAATCTGATTTTTGCAAAATTTTGATTTTATGTGCATTGGTATTTTGCCATGGGTGTTAGGTCCCCTAGAACTGCAGTTACAGACAGTTGTGAACTGCCCAGTGGGTGCTGGGAATTGAACACAGGTCTTCTGGAATAGCAGTCAGTGCTCTTAAAACCTGAACCAACTCTGTAGCCCTAAACCCGAGTTTTGATAATAAGCTAATATTAGATTGTGTGGTCAGGTACTTTGATTCTCTTCCTTAAACATATGCACCATCCATATTTTAAATGCACTCAGATCTTTGCACAAGTGCTCAGCCAGAAAGCACCAGAATGGGTGTAACTCTGTCTCTATTATCAGGAAACGGGACCTGCCAGCAATAAGTCAGCAGAGCCCTGTTTGTCTCAAGTTATGAACAGCAGGAATTGACCCATTCACAAAGGCTTTGCCAATGGCTCTTTCTAAATGTAGGAAAACATTTATCCTCTTTCCTGGGACCAGTGGGATTACCAGCCCTGACTTCAGATAAGTGAATAAACAACCCTCAGCCCCAGTGGAAACTATTTCTTCCACATTAGGACCTCACAGCTAATTTTACCTAGAAACGTCTAATGGATTACCCATATTTGCTTATTTTCTTTTCTCGTGTGTCTGTCTTCACATATATCAGGGCTAATGAGGAGTCCTAAGAGTGTTCTCCATGAAGGAATTTCAAATACTATTTGCCTTGTTAGTCAGGACTAATGACCTCACTGGCAGAAAGGGCTGCCAGTGGGTTTAGTTATTGCTTTGTTAGGAAAAGGGATCGAATATCTAATGACAACTACTTCTTAGTTAGGGTTTCTATTGCTGTGAAGAGACGCCATGACCACAGCAGCTCTTCTAAAGGAAAACGTTGAATTGAGGTGGCAGCTTACAGTTTCAGAGGCTCAGTTCATTATTACGGCGAGGAGCATGACAGCACGCAGGCAGACATGGTGCTAGAGAAGTAGCTGGGAGTCCCAAATCTTGCAGGCAACAGGAAGTCAACTGAGACACTGGGCAGTATCCTGAGCATAGGAAACCTCAAAGCCCACCACTACAATGACACACGCACTCCAACAAAGCCACATCTCCTATAGTGCCACTTCCTATGAGATGGGGGGGGATTACATTCCAACTACAACAAACTGAATATGAGTGGGAATAAAAGATAAGTTACGACTATGCCAAGAGATACAATTTCACATGCTATAGCCACTAAAGTCATAACATTGGCAGTAAAAACCATTGGTATTTTTGATATAGCTACTTCGTGATTATATACAATTCTACAAAATTTTTGAGAATGCAATGACATAGAAAATTGAATGCATAAGAAAGACATTTGTAATTTATGCAGACTTAAGTCCTAGAGTATTGACTTGCAAATAGACTAGTTCCACCACATACGATCTATATAGAAAGCTCATACAGATATTATGTCTTATTCCTGGTTAATTATATACTCCATTAATCTAAAAGATATTCATATTCAATATAACCTAGAAATAGGAAGTTTGTGTGTGCGTGTGCACATGGATGTGTAGGGAATCTGTGACAAATGAAAAGGTACAATATTAGTGATATTGAAAACAATAAACTTTACCCAGAAGACATTTACCTTTCAGATTTTCAATCAGTTCCTGTTTTCCTTGTGCATGACAGCATGGAAACAATACTATGAGAAGAAAGGGAAGTAGCTGGTAAGAAGTGTGATATTAGCACAAGGGGGTTGGGGAGATGGTTCAGTCTGTACATGGGCGTTAAGACTTGAGTTGGAGGGGTTGTAGACATGGCTTGGCAGTTAAGGACACTGGCTGTTCTTTCAAAGGACCTAGGTTCAATTCCCAGCACCGACACGCCCATTCACAACTGTCTGTAACTTAAATACCAGGGAATCTGACACCCTCATACAGGCACACATGTAGGCAAACCCCCAATGTACATCAAATAAATAAATCTCATAAAAAGAAAGACTTGAGTTTGAATGCCCGGAGCCCTGTAAAGATGGATGTAGTAGTGTACAACCCCAGTGGCTCCTATGAAGAGATAAGGGTGGAAAAGGGAGAATCCCCAAACGCTCTTGGATCAGCTAGCTTGGTGTAAGCAGCAGCAAACACGAAAGAGACCCTGTCTCAAACAAGGTGAAAGGCGTAGGACCAACAACACCCACAACTAGCTTTTGCCTCCACATGCTCACTGTGGTATCAGCACACACACACACACACACCCACCACAAATAAAAAAAATAAAATCTTTAAAAAAAGGTCTTGATCCCATCCTGTGTGCCATTTCTTGCTTGGTTGGTTCATTCTGGTGGAAGCCAGCTGCCACATCTTCAGTTGTTCTATGTTAAGAGAAGCTTTTTCTTTGCTAGCCACTTTGGTTTATCCCCCGCCAGTCACCTGGGCTCTGCCGCGCCAGCCTGGTTCTAGATCCGCATGAGTCCCAAATAAACACACAGGAGGCTATATTAATTATGAAGCTGTTGGCCTTGCTTGTTTCTTACTGGCTAGCTCTGCCTTAAGTAATTACCCCATAATTGTTAATCTAAGTAAGTCTCTTACCGGAGAATAGTTCCAGGCTTCCTACCCCCAATGGCGTTACATGTTGACTCTCCTGTGTTTCTCCTACCCAGAATCCTCCTCGACTCCTAGTCCCTCCTATCTAGGTTTTCTATTGGCCAGACAGTACTTTATTAACAAATGCACAGGCAAATAACAGGACTTCCCCAACATCTCCTCTTTTCTGTTTAAACAAAAGAAAGGTCTTAATTTTAACATAGTCAAATTGTATATGACAGAACAGTTATCAAGTAAGAACATAGTTACAATATTTTAGCAAGATTTAAAGAAAATATCATCCATCCCATCCTTGTGAGTCCAAAGTCCTATATGTAGCTTATCTTTTATCATAACTAAGGAAAACTATAATTATAACTATCTGTCTTTAACTCCATCAAAGACCACAGAAGGATAATATATAAACACTAGGATTGACAGAGACATCTTACTGCCTGGACAGTCACCCAAAGTTCCTCTGTAACGTTGGGGCATCCATCTTCAGCCCATAGGCCACAATGTGTCTGGAACACTTCTCAGCAAAGCAGGAAATTTCAAACTGTCCATCTGCATTGGCAGTCTGTCAGTCATTTGTCTTTGTCCTGCAGAAAGTCTCGTAGACTCTTCATCAAGCAGGAACCCTGTAAGACTGAGTTCAGTAGTCACTTTCCTGTGGGTCCTGCATGTCCAGATGATACAACAACAGTCAAACAATCTAGGCAAGAGCAGTTTCTTGCCCAAATGGCTAATCTTGCCATGTTGAAAGCAAACTTTATAACGAGTTTCTTCGATGCCCATCTTCCTCTCAGACGTAATTGGTGCTGCCAGGAGCAGACATTTCTCATTGTCAAGACAAACCCTAAACCATTTTAAATGCCATGTTCTGAAGGTCTTTGAGAGGTTTGAAGACTGTCCATCTCAAATATATTTCTGTATATCTAGAAACCTAACTTATGTAACTAGAAATTCTATTATAAGTAACTATCTATATAGTCTGTATTCAATTATGCATTACGTTGTAAAAGATCAGTATAAGCACAATACTTAATCAAGAGGAGAAATATACACATCACAAAATTGACCTTGATTTTGTCTCAATAAATGAAAAACAATACCCATACCATAATTCCCCTTTTTACCATTAAAAAAGATTGGCTGTGATCACTAGCCAATTATAAACAATCCCATTTAAATGAAAACAAAGATTTATAAACAAGATGGGAATTGGGACGTCGCTCATTCCAAACTGCTTCCTGCTGGAAGGGGCGCTGTTCACACCATGGGGATCATGACAAAACTCAGAAACCTGTATAAGTCCATATTTTCGGGGTCTGTAAGACTGCATCATCTTCGCTGTTTCGATTGTTGGAACACCTGGTCCACTGCTTCCGGGGGTCTTGGTTCGTCAAACCACAGAAGTCTGGAAGAAATCCTCAGCTTTTTATGTTCTGTGGAAACATAAATTAAAACTCCTTTTCCAAGTAACATATCCTTATACTTAAATTTTGAAGTCAAGGCATTTTCAAAAGATAGAAGTTGGATTAATTCAGCAGCATTTATAATCACGTGTACTTCAGTAGCTGTTCCTTCCTTAGCAATGAAAAAATTGAAAAACACAATAGCGTACAGTATCCAGACTCTCTGTGTATTTTCCATCTTTACGTGGCTTATTTATTTATTATTACTTTATTTCTTTCACTTTTATTTCTTTTTCTCTGAGACAGGGTGTCTCTTTGGAAATCCGCCTGCCTCTGCCTCTGGAGCAATTCCTACCGGCGTGCGCCACCACAACGCCAGCTTTTGTATTTATTTACCACTTTGCCGTTTCATTTTCTCTCTCAATCTCACGTATATTTTTAAACACACTGTAAACCTTTAAAAGTTTTGTTCATCCAAGTCTGACTTTACTGTAAATCTTTATGTTTTTCTGGCCACGTGTCTTATCTGTAAAACCGCGGCTGTTTTAAACTGCCGTTTCAAGATGGCGGGCGTAAGCGTGACTGCAGCTTACCTCCTCAGTCCATGCTGACCTCCAGCAAAAGCTGCCACTTCCAGCTGTACGTACACACCTTTCAATCGTTAGCAGAGTCTCTTAAAACACCCTTGCTGGTTTTTTTTCTTTTTCTTTTATGCTGAGTCAGGAAGACTCCGGTAACCGAGCCACGTGAATCTCGGCTTGTCGCTAGCAAAA